CATTCGACAGATGGACACACTCTGTGTCATCCTCTTCCACTGCGGCGAAATACGCCTGGGGCTTCGGCGCCGCCGGCTTTGCGGCTGCGTTGGCAGTTCCCCCAGACTGTGCTGGGGTTGTGGTGCCCTTGGGGCCATTGCCCTTACCGCTAAACTTGCAGGCAGCATCTCCGGCCCAATGGCCGATCACACCGCACTTCAGGCACCTACTCTTTGCCTTAAGCTCTGCCAACTTGGCCTTACGATCAGCAATAGTCAAATTGCTACGCACGACCTTCCCTCCGGATTTTCCGGAGGACTTGCCCTTGTTCTTCCCTTTTCCTTTTCCTTTCGCCTGGGCAAAGGCGGTCTGTGCCGCGTACGCAAGCTGAACTGACTCGGCATAGGAATCATCCAAATCGTCAATCTCAGCTTCATATGCCACTGCCGTATAGGCGTTGAGTTGCAATGCTAGGTCTTCATCATCAATCCATTCATCCGCATCATCTCCCCCAGACGCTGTGGCCTGGTATGCTTCTTCGCCGTAGCCGTCACCGTAGCCTTCCGCGGATTCCTGCTGTTCCTGGTGACCATACTCTGCGGCACTACAATCATACCCCATGTAGCCAAACTTAGGGTACTGTGGCTTAGCGTCGAAACGTCTCCAGGTCTTACCTGGGCCACTAGGGTCCTTCTGGGTAAGAAGACGTTCCTTCATGTGCACCACTGAGTGATGCTGAACAAGGACGCGTGCGTACTCATCCACGGTGTGTACGCGGGCGGCGGTCTTGACCATTAGCTGTTCGTTCCTTTCCAACCCTGAAAGCTCAACAAGGAGGTTAGCCCTCATTGCTTCAGAAAGGCGGATATCAGGATCTAGCTCACGCAAGGTCGACCACCACCGCTTTCGGCGGGCTATGTAAGACAACATAGGCTCGCCGGGTTGCTTTGCAAGTGGGCCCGTCAGGAGCTGTCCCTGACGGAAAAGTTCGGACGCCTCTTCAGATTGAAGAGGGAAGGCTTGCCTCCTGATTTCTTCTATCAGGTAGTCGACGCCATCATGGCGAAGCAGACGTTCCAGGCCGACGTCGCGAGCAATGCAAAAGGCGTCTCCTCGGAGACCCTCCAAAATCTTGCTAACGCATTCGCTCATATCAAGCGACTCGTCCTTAATGTCTTGCAAGGTGTACACCGCCGGATCTGTGTCCGGCTCCTGCTCATCGTCGCCCGCCACTTGGCTGGGGTGCGACGGCAACGACTCCGCATCCTCATCTTCTGCCTCGGACGCGGGCTTAGTCCGTTTTGCGCTGGACGGACTGGCGGGTATACCGCTGCTTCCATCACCATCTGTGGGCGATGCACTGGTCCCCTGACTTGCCCTGCCACGCCACTTCCTTGGTGACTCGCTCTTGGCCCTTGCCGACTCGGCAAATCGCAGGTCCTTAAGAGCTTCACGCCGCTGCTTCTCCTTATGTTGCAGCACACGGATCTGTGTCCGGAAGCACCAATCGTGGAAGCCAGCAGCCGTACCGTCGTATATGTACGAACCGCTTTTCGTTTCTGCAGGGCTCAGGTTCTGTGACCAGAGATTGGGCTGGTAACGCAAACCTGCCACGCTCATGGCTTCAGATAGAAGGGGCCTTTGCGCCGCGACTATCACTACTCTACACAACGGACCCCGGACCACAGGCTCTACGGGGGTGAAACACTAGTGGTTGTCCTCACAGCTCCGCTACCAGTTTGAAGCAGGAACTGGATTAGTGAGTGTCCAACCACACTACGAGCGCACTTTTTGGTCTGAGCCCAAGACGTCTGTCGTACAGGGTGCATTCAGATCTAACTCAAAAGACTACGCTCGCATGAGGACAGGTCAACACGGCGCTTCAAGACAGGGAAATTTCACAACCTTAAACCCCTGAAGTTCTACACTGATCGTAAACTCTGAGGCCACGAACACGCAAACCGTTCCTGGAACCTAATAGCTAGTAAAAGCACCAGGCCGAAACCTTCAGCCCCAAACCGTTTTGAAAGCCAAACATGATTCCTGAACCCGCAACCTTTCCCCCCAACCCCGTGAAGCTACAAAACCGTTTCTCACCACTGCCTCATACGGACCCTCCGAACCCGCGACCAGCAAGTCACGACTTCATGGCCCAGCGAACATATCACGAGATTTTCCACACTGAACAACCACCCATAAACACCCTAAACCCGAAAATTGCAGCCAGTCTGCTGCGCTCTGGTGCCACTTCCGACGGGCTCTCGCCCTGCTCCAGTTTTGCTCTTGAATCTCCACGTATCCTAGGTCTGAACCGCGCTCATGTACCTGGTGAGGTTAAACATAAACACAACAACATCACAACAACATTGATGAGTGGATACATCGGCGGCTAGATATGATATGAAGCTCCGGTCTAAAGCAGGAAGTCACGCAACAGCCCACCGCCCAGCCTTCCGCTCACCAGGGAGGCTGTCAGGGTAGCCTGCCCAGCTATGTGAAACTGCGAGGGTCAGCAACGACGACTACTTCAATTACGGCAAAAGCGAAGCTGGCAGAGGGATTCTGAAGTTCAAGGTGCTCCTCCCACAAGCCCAGCGGCAGCGGTGACTTCCACTGTTTCATCTGGCCTGGCTGCCCCTGCCACAGAGCATCGCCTCTCTGCCCGGCAGCTTCGTGGCTCTCATACCTCAGCACTCTTCGCTCTCGCATGACACGTGGATGCACGAAGATCCGCAACGGAATATTCTGGGCAGTATGCTGACAATTGCATTCTGCAAGGGAAGGCCGAAGAAGCAGCTCTTTTTTGACAGTATGAGTTCAGAAGAGGCGAAAGTCTGGGGGAGACTTCCGGAGCAGGGCCATCGGCAACCCTTCCGAGGCTCTCGCCATGCTGGACGCGACCTGACACAGACCGAAGGAAGATTCGCCGATTCGCCGGGCTCGGCTATCACCTGAGCGCAGGGCCACCAGCCGCTTCCCCAGGTATTGCCGGACCTTCACAAAGATCAGCTTCAGAGTCTGCTGTTTTCGACTTGGTGCTTACTCACACACGGTGCACGAGAATGACCCGTCTTAGATTCGCAGAGCATCCTTTTGATTTTGGTCCTCGCGCTAGGGCCACTAGGGGTCTGTCGGCAGTGCAGCTATGAGCGAGTCGCTTGCAGGCACCGTTTCGGCATCAGATGGATCTTGCGGAACAGACTTGGAGCCTTCAGGGCAGCGTAACCCACAAGTTATCTAGGCCGGCAAAGCAAGTCAGATGCAATGCGTCACGGGCTTGAAACCGTACCTTCCTTGGCTCCTCCAGACCGCACACCACTCGCCTCGAGATGAGTCACCAAAACTTCACTCAGTTAACGTTTGCAGCACAATGCCTCTTCAACTTCAAGTTCTTCCTGCCAATCTTGTCATCGATAAACATATCTCAGACACCGGAATTTTTTGAATCTCCTCCTCTTCCCCATCACCTCCTGGATCTTCCTCCTGTGCGTGCACTAGCCGCTAGCTCGCAGGGCCGAAACAGTAGTAGGATTCGACGATTCGACCGAATCCTTTCAAGGCGCCTTGTTGCTACAAAGTATCTGCTCGGACTTGAAAACGAAAGGCACAGTAAATGTGCAACCGAAGAGTTGACTGTTCCCGGAAAGCGCCTGCTTTTGCAACTTTGCGGTTTGCTACATGCCGTTCAGGGATACGGTATGATACGGCAATCGGGTTGTGCTGTTGAATGCTAGATGAATGACCCCTTTTGGCGATTGCGACGCAGGATCCATAGGTTTGGCGGCAAGTTTGAACTTGCCGGAGGATGAACGAGTAAAGTACAACTTGCTGCTTGAATATACTGGGCAGCTGGGCGGGTCTTCACTGGGACGACCTCCCGTCACTTTGCGGCAGCTGTTAATGCACCAACTTGTCTGCTTTGCTGTAGGAACGCATGAGCATCAAGCACGAGACAGTGCGTTCGCATGTGTGAAGGCCAGGCCGTTGCTGAATTCAGGTGCCACATTTCTGCAACCTCGACAAAAATGCACGGCTGCAGCTTTCGAGCTGCTTCAGCTTGCAGAGTCGCGGTGAGCAAGCACCTTCTCACTTCTTATGTCTTCAGCATGACGAATGCACGGTTTCCGCAACGCGTGACTCCACAAATACTTATGCTTGCCACTCGGAGGTGGTGCAAAGTCGCTCAGTGCCTACATCGCCACAGAGTAGCGCAAGCAGCCTCTGCGACATCAGCTGTTCTGCCTGCGGCGTCACCTCTTCTTCGCCTGTTACTCTTATGAAACAAGCTTCACTACATGTCTCAGACGGCCAAACAACAGGCTGAGCAGGAAGAGGCCCTTAGGTGAGCCTGGGACTGGCCTGGAATTGCAGGCAGGGTCAAAAAGAAAGGATGCGATGCGCTCTTCAAAGGTAGCAGAGCTCCTGGCAGGAGCCAGTGTTCACACACCTGTAGCAATGCCATTTGGCATCGACGGGATCTCGGCAAAACCTGGACGAAAATCGGAATCCGAATCCAGGTCCTGAGCCTGCCGGATAAAATTGAAGAATTATCTGCAAATGCAGGTGGGAACCTCCGCTCGGGTCCATTTTGAGAAAAGCCTTGCACATGTGTCTGTGCCACATAGACGCCCACTTTGGAATGGGGAACAGAACAGACCGAGCGGATTCGACACCTGCCGGTTTCCGTCGGAAAATTCTTAACCACCCGCGAACCCTCAACATCTGGCGCCAGATCTTCTGAGGATACAAAGGCGAATTGCACACGGGTGGTGCAGTAATGCTGTATAACGCCTACAAACCTAGCTGTGCTGTCCGCGTCCTGTCCCACTGGCATCTGGCTGCTTTCAAGCTGATCCTAAGGCTAGCTAGCAGGCTTGCATACGCCCCCGGCCCGTGCCGCGTCCAAGTAGGCCATGCGTCCAGCGTCGAATTAACATGCAGCAGTGTCCCGGCACTGCTCAAAAGACAGATTTTCGGTATCTTCCGGGTGGATTTCTTCTGGCAGGCTGCTCCGTCAGAATCAGGAAATGCATCGACCCAACTGTTCTTTGAACGTTGCCGTGATGGTGAGCCTGTGCCATGCGGGATGTCCCTATGAAACGGTGTTTGCAGCTTGCAGCACCGAAACAACGTGTGAGGCCTGAAGCCGGCCATGACAGCCTGCTGCGGCCAGTCAACGAGAAGGAGCTCAATGCCTTGCAGAGAGACGCAGACAACGCAGAGCATGACGGAGCATGCCATCCCTCCGAGCAGCAGTTCCCAGTCTGAATGCCGATGAGTTGAAGTGCCATCTTCACCACCCAATTGGAGTACAGGTCAACGCCTCAAGTGCTGCGCCCTCCGTCAACTTAGCAGTCGAGAATCCACTCATTTCTGAAACGAGAAGATTTGCGTTCCGTCATGTCATGCTGCCAGGATACTGACACTGTACACCGGCACGTCTCCCACCATTTTGGTCTCATCCTGAGCGGAATTACGGGTGGAATTCGTGCCGCTTTCTGCAACGATAAGCGTGAGTAAGGCAAGCCTAGAGTGCCAACCTTCTCGTGGTGGTACGGAGAAGAAGCAAGCAAGGGATCGAGGATTGACAGACAGGCATCCACACAGGCTCCACTTCCGAAATACGGGCCGACGTACTCTGCATCCTTCGGCGACTTGGCAGGAACAGGCAAAGGCACCTGCTCAGTTTCAAGGCATCATTGCCAAAACAATGGTCAATGGGCCAGTAGCGAGCCTTCACCGGCCGCACAACAAACTTTAGCCGCGAAGAAAGCGCATCTCCTAACACAGGCCACTTGGAGTTCTTAACGGCGTTTAACGGCTCTTTCAAACTCCTTTCACATCTGCCAGGCCTGCAGCGAAGCACTGCTGAAGTGCTTTTTCATCGGTGTGTTTGCACAGGCACAGGAGCCACGCGGCCCCGAACCCGAGCCACACGGCCACTTGGGGCTCCGTCCTGCTACCGACAAAACATAGCTTGCAACAAAATCATGGACCCAGGTGCATCTCAAGGCGGTTCGTGCGCAGCAACGTGTCCCACACGCCATCTCCATCTCACGATAGATCCTGAGATGCGTCATTGCTGCTGCCAACAAAGTGCCTGAAGCTGCGTGTTTGTGCCTATATGTTAAAGGGCGAGAGGGCGCGAGAGAGAGAGAGAGAGTGAGAGAGACAGCGAAGAAAAAAAAAATGCATCGGCTTACTGCTTGGATTACTCGGCTAGCCGTACGTGGCTATTCCGAGACAGAAACTCAAATCGGATATGCTGGTTTGCCCCCTTTTCTCGCTCCGGGGAAGGGGTCGTGAGCAGTCCTCACGACCCGCGCTTTCGCGCTACCTCCTCTGTCTCCTTCTCTTCTCGTCTCTGAACATGCTATGAATTTCGGCTTTGAGTTGGTGCGTCTTTCCTTTGGTCCTGTCACAGGCCGCCACCTCAAACGGTGCGCGTGATTGAGGGTTGTAGCAAGGACAAAATTCTCTGCAGTTGATACTCGCTGGGACCAGCCCTAGCTCTCGCTCTCTCCGTCCTCTTCTTGGTTCTGGTTGATTTCTTCTTCTTTCTGCAGAGCTGAGCAAAAAAAAACTGTGATCTTCCCACGCCCCCCCCCCTTCGGAGTCCGAGTCTGCATTCTCTTTCTCGCTCGCGCTGTCTTACTTCACATCAAAACAGCAACTCTGAGATTGAACCGGGGAGCTTTGGCACGTTGTCGGGATCATCAGCAAGCTCGCGCTTGATGAGGCATGCGCTGACAAATCTGCTGGCTGCCTGCAGCCTGCAAGGGCGCAAGAAACTAGTTTGCCCATTCTCTTCGACGCACCGCACGACTGCTGTCGCGAACTTCTCACTGTCATGTCGGACTTGCACCATTGAAGATGGTGCTACAACTCCGCCATAGGCCGAGCAGCTGTAGCTTTGGCCATGCGAGCAAGCTTGCTTCAGTGCTCCAATCTCCGGATGCTGTCAGCACCTGCAGCTCAAGGACTGGGAGATCGACTTGGAGTCGCCTGACATTGCCCGACCGCGCGGCCTCTGAATCTGGAGGTACTCCCGGCTTTAGGTCCGGCTGTGTCTCATTGGGTGCTTCGCTCAGCAGGTTCTCCCTGGGATGCTGAGAAGCACGCCATGCGCAGACTTCGCAAAGACAAAAGAGAACCGGCAATGCGCAGAGACAGCGGACAGACAGTGAGCGAGAGAGAGAGAGAGAGTGAGAGTGCGGGAGAGAGAGAGAGAGAGAGAGCGGAAAGAGATGTGTAACTCGTCGCCATGGCTCGCTGACTGCACGTTAGCAAACTCGGAAGTGGATACGATTGTCGCCAGAGAGCTACCTGCCTCTGAGTTGGTGTTCATCCTGGGAGGCGTCGCTACTAGCATTGCTCGATGCAAAGCGGCGCTGCGCTTGTCGCATGGATTTTTTGTGCCTTGCCATCGATCCTGCCAAGCTTCCAGCTGCTCGCTGTCGTGCTCAGATCATCGCCCATCCCCTGATGGGTCAAAGGCAGATCCGATTAGTGACCTCCCTGACTGAGGTCTCCTACAGAGCCCTCTGCCTGGTCAGATTCGCAGTCATCGTCACGGCCTGCCTTAACAAAGTCCAGACTCGTGGCATGGAGTGGAACGGGCTTATGCCCCCAAGTAACATCCGCAGGTCTGGACCAGAAGCAGCAGCCCACTTTTGCATGCCGCCTTTTGCTGTTACCTGCACAAACGAAGCTCCGTGTCGCTGCAGCCGTAGAAGCTCCCGGCATGAAAAAAAGTAGAACGGCAACCGAAGCACCTGCCATCGCGAAGGCCAAGGGAACGGTTCGGCACTCTCAGGTGCTGTCACGCAGAACCGAACAGTGATGAAGAGTCTTGGCTGGGTCTCACAACAAATGACGAGAATTCTGGTTCGTGTCGGTGCCCCGCTGCTTGGAAAAACGTGCAGCAATTCCAGGTGGCTCTGGCAACACCCGGCTTGAGTGCAAAAACTGCTGTCCGGACAAGGAGCCGTCAAAATCAGTACCAAGAGAGACAAAAGGCAAACAAAAAAGAGAGAGAGAGTGAGATAGAAGCGCAAAGAGAGGAGAGAAGAGGAAGAGAGACCGGGAGGCTTCCGAAGGAACGTACGCATCCTCTGCGCTGTCATCCTTCACATCCTCGGCTGCATGCCCCGCAAATAGACATGGCTTCAAGACTCCATTGCATCTAGATTTGCATCAATCTCTACATGCGGATATTCCTGTATGCAGATGTACACATACCTACGCACATATAAGCATGCATGTATAATCTGTAGCTGTATCTATGCATTCTCAGAAACGTGACATCATACCGACATCTCTCATCTCTGTTGCTTGCTCGCACTCGGACAAAGGAGCACTCGCACTCTTGCTTGCTCCAGGTTTAAGGGAGGGGTATTGCCCCGACCCCCCCCTCCCCCCACCGAATGTGGCAGTCGGCGTGAAACTGTCCCTGTCTCACTCACTCGCTTTCTCTCTCACAGCTTGGGATTGACTACGCACCGCCAAAGGCCGATCAGCCAAGTCTCCGGAACCTTTGCAGGCGCCGCTGGCTCAGGAATTCGGTGTGGAGGCGTGTCCAAAGGGACCTACAGTTCTGACATGCATACATACATATGGCGGGTGCGTGTGTGTGCGTGTGTTTGTGCGCCCGCACATCTGACCAGCCACCTCTCCGTCCGTGAACCGACGAATGGCACGACGAGTTCCTGCGAAGTCCGCTAAGTAGCGGCTCAACAGCAACAGGGCATCTCGAGAGTGGGCCAACGCCAGAGTTAGGACATGGAAACTGAGCAGCATTGCATTCCTGTTTTGATGTTTGTCTGCCAGAGCTCATTGAAATTGATCTCATAGGCAAAGTAGTCGCTGTGGATCTAGCACGAAGAGACCCTCCCAAGATCATCATGTTCTTACATGCAAATCCACACTCGGGCAGCAACCACCCGCACTCCCAGCTTCAGGTCAGGGTGGTCACCTAGGAAGTAACTGAGATGGGCGCCACTGCTTCACAGAGTGCATGAAGTCTCGTGAGACCCACCTTCATTTCCCGTTCCCTCTTCTACTTATTTCTACTTCTCGGCGCCTGCATCTCAACGCAGTCAGTTGTGACAGATGTCAAGCTGCGAAGGAAGCGCAGCAGTTCGGATTGCAACTGCACATTGTCAATAGAAGCAGGAGCCCCTAATTGATGTCATTCCGGCACGATCTCTGGGGAAATTCTTTGTCAGGTGATTTCGCCAGCTTATTTTGCCGAGGTACAGAACTGACGCCAGTACTTCTCCAGTCTCTCGGCAGCTGTGGCATCGTAGTCGTACCAGCCGACCTCCTTTCAGCCCAGGCTCCATTGCACCCCCCGCCGCCCGCCGATTTTTCTCAATGCACGTCTACAGGCACGGCTGTCTTTTTCGGACTCTTTGCTTTGCCCCAAGGCCCAGCCTTGCCATCGATGGCATTGTGCATGTAGAACTGCCACCTACAACGCAGTTCGGGTCGGGATCGTTTCTCTACCTCTTCCTTAATCACGCCTGCCCTTGGCGTGGCCGCTGCCGCTTGGTTCAAGGCTCACGAGCCTCATGCATGGTGCCGTGCACTCGAGACTCTAGCAACGAGAAGAACTGACTCAAGGAAGCGGCAAGACAACGGAGCAGCTGCGAGAAAATTGACATTCAGGCGTTTGCCAGTAGGAAAGGAGATAAGAAAGCGCGCGGAGACGTTGCTGCGGCCCGCCTGTACTTGCCGGGCAGCTCTTCAAAGGTCATGCCAAGTTGGCCCCAAACGTTGCCTCGGCTTTGGATCTTGAAAAACGTCAAGGGGCTGCAGGGGGGTCGAGCTTCAGCAATAACCTCCTGTCTATGTGCAGGTGCGCATGGCTATCAATGGCAATAATTTGCCAAGCCGCCTGTCTTCTGACGGTACTTCCTGCACCGGCCGGCCACGAGGCCACGTGCTGTTTCTGTGGGGTAGGGCCTAGATGGCCTAGATGGCCTAGGGGTGCGCAAGGCCGGTCCCAGCCTCCGGAAGACTGCCTTGGCGGCTTGGAGCTCTTTGAAGGGACCATCCACGTGCACACGGCCTGACATCTGAGCTGAAGCCATGCGGCGCTTGCCGGTGACTCTGTGACTCTGGGCTCCACGCCATCTAGGCCTGTCCATCCCCAATGCTGCACCGCCCAGAATTCCGAACCATCAATGCTCGCCAGGAGCTGCCTCAGAGATATCTCCGCCCTCGTGGAAGCGCAGACCAGCGAGTACGCCGAACTGAGAATCTCGATCCCAGCTGGGGCCAAACAGCCGAGCACAGCGCATGTTGTAGTACTTGTCCGTCCCCTCAAAGCCAAAGTCGGATCCGGTCTCTAAAATAACATGGGTTTGCCCATCAAGTTCGAGCAAAACAGCCTTGGCCGGATCGTTCAACACCAGCTCCTTGACATCATGAAACAAAGGCCGATCGCTCAACGGGAACATGCAAAAGGCTGAGTTTAGAGCCACATCCCAGGTCAGAGTGCCCTTCATCATCAAACCTTTCCTCATCCACAGGAAGGTTTCATAATCTCATGGGTGACTCACAATTCGCACCAGCAGATCCACGCGTTGCGGAGAAGCGTCTTCGCTTGCTCTTGGACGACAGCAGCTTTGCCTGGCATCGCGGAGTCGCGGATCCTGCAATGGCCTGCACTTTCACCGCAGCCTCCCAGACCGCTTTTTGCGATCACTGGGGCTTCCTTGGATCGCGAGGGTTCCTCTTACTCTTGGAACGCAAAGCGATCTGCAGGCCCTTCAGCATGGCTGAAAGCAAGGAAAGCAGTGATGCTAAGAGCAGCAAAAACCAGGCCTAGAGCTGCTCGCTTGCAGCCAAAATACCGTCGTGGCATATGCCACAGACGCGGAGGAAGCAGCTGAAGAACCCCGCTCGGCCTCGTCCTTGCCCAAACTGACACGCCTGGAAAACTGGATGAAGCTTCCCCGCTCCCTCCCGGCCTTCGCTAGCCTGGCCTTCTTAGCCGGGCTTGTGGAGGCCTTTGGCACCTGCTTTGTACGAGCCGGGGACACGCGAGAGCATTGCGTCTAGAGGGTCTCTTGCCCGCCTCCCGCTTTTTTGCAGGATCAGATGCCTTTCGCTTTGTCAATGCAAGAGTCAAGAACCGATGAGAAAGATGGCGCTTCAAGATGCATCCGCCTTGATGAGGAAGGTGCAGTGATCGAGCAGCGACTTCGCTGCTATGCAACACCCCAAAAAGCCTGACACCCATACCAGCATGTACTCAAGCGAAGAACGAGTCCAATTCCAGCTGTGCCCAAGTACAGGGGCGGGCCTTCTTGTACGATGGGTGTTCCTCGCCCCTTGGCCAAAGCCACTTTCTGCGAATTGGCCTGCTCTGGAAAAGAGTCACATGTGGGCAAGAAGGACCCTCCTGTCGCCTTCACATCTTCGTCCGTAGATACGAGGAACTGCACAGAAGTCGTCACGGTGGAGGAAACCTGGGACCAAGTTCTGTGTCGGCTTGCAGAGGCACCACGTGCCGGTGACCTCTCCGCCATGACGACGAATCAACTCCTCATACGCCTGTAGGGCGAGACATGCTCACAACAGTTTGCACAGAGATCGTCACAACTGTACGACATCATGTAGGCAGACCTTCTGTGTCTGCGCCAGCTTTCCTCCCATGCAGATTGAAGGACGCATGCCGGCACAAAGTCTATGATGCAACCTCCAAGCCTGACAATGCGAAGGTGATGCCTTTGAAGAACCTGGCGGTCCTACTGTGAGAACTTACATGTGAAGAATCTTGCCAGTACCGTCCAACACCACTCGAACATAATCTCTACTACGATCGCCCAACCGAGTCCAAGGTACTTTTTTGGGGGCATGGCCGGAGCATGAACTGCGGATTGAAAATTCTACAAATGGCAATCAGTCATGCTCCTGCTGGTGGTATGGGCGTGCTGGGCTACGAATGGCTAACGGTGGGGAGGCTCTTCTTGTAACACTGACATAAGATTGTGTTGCTGCTGCTGCTTCTGGCGATGACAACAAAAGAGGAAACTTGTCATGATCATTCGAACTTGTCTAGCATTAAATCTTGCATTTTGATCCGCTTGTAGCAGTGGCTGCAGCGGTGCATGAGCAGGGCTACTTGACCATTCAGGGCTTAAGCCTTGGCGAAGGATGCAACTGGCACCAAGCGAGGGAGTGCGCTGTGTCAATTCTCCGCTCAGGCGGCAGCCAACCATATCCATCGGACCTAAAGTCTGTACTGCTTCTCAGCACAACAGCTCTAAAAAGAGGCACCGCTCGCTTGGGGGCCTGACCAACTCCAGCGAGCCCAAGCCTGCAGATACGCACAGAAGTTCCGAAAGCACTCGCGCTTGAGCGTCCTACGGAGAGTACGCGGCTCGTCTACACAGCTTAACCATGGGCACAAAACAAGGCAATTGCTGACTGGGGATCTGTTCGTAGCGCTGCAAGATTCGTAGAAGGGCTAACTACTAAAGCTATTCTGCACAGCTTGCCAAGTGCTCTAAGCTAAAACTTTGGTGTGAAGCATGGCTGGCATGGAAGGAGTCTGCAGCTGCAAGGGCCTGGCCATCTGTGCCCATGGAAGGTGGAGCCACACGGCGTCAGAAACTTAAACTGCTTACTGGTAGCTGCGGGATCTCTTCTAAACCGGTCCAGTAGCGGGCGAATTGTGGTCTCTCTTCTAGGAAACATCCAAGTACATGCTGAGGTAAATAGAGTTGTGCATCACGTTGGTCGGTGTTAGATCCAGGGCTTGAGCTGGCCAACAAAGCTTGCGAAACAATACTTCGACAAACTAAATCGGTATCCATCGTCAAGCAACCTGCGGCATGCCGCGATTTGTGACCGGGCAGGAAAGGAAGCGGGCTGCGAGTTTCCGCGCCCTGTCACGGCTCCGTGCTGCCACAGCGCCCAAAGGAACTACTGGTATCAGCAGAGTGAGACGCCACCGGCACACGCATAGGATGGAGTTGGCAGGAATGGTAGCACCCTCCAACCGAGAACGTCTCCATTGTCGGCTACGTCTAGGCATTCTGCAGTAGCTACTGCTCCGTGCCCGCTGTGACCACCGAAGACGTAAACGCTCAGTGTGTTCGCCACGGGTCTGTTGTGGCAGAGACTGACACAGCCAAGTCGGGGCGTTGGCATGTCAGCAATAATTTCCCAGACGTAAGCAGCAATGTCCAGGCGCTCGACAGTGGCCAGTGCCCTGCCCCTGCCTGCGTGACCACCGAAAACGAAAACTGACTTGCCAAAAGCCGCTGCTGAGCAACCCAGGCGCGGCGTTGGCATTGGCGGAAGCGGAGACCAGCGGTTCGATTGCACGTGCAACATGTCAGCAGTAGAAAGAAAATCGCGCCACCTGCCACCAACTACGAAAAGTCGATTAGCCAGTGAAGCTGCTGCGCAGGCATCACGCCTGCATGGCATTTCCTCTAAGCCCTCCCACCAAAGGCTGGTGGAGACGTGTAAGCGCTCTGTAATCGACAAGGCCTCCTCGTGCTGACAACCACCGAACACATATAAACAAGAGCCACACGAGGCAACCCCGCAGGCCTCCCTGGGCGTTGGCATGTCTGGCACCGACTCCCACAAACCCATCTCAACGTCGTATCGTTCGACGGTCCCCAGGACATGACCTTCTTGCTGTCCACCGATCACGTAGATCTTTCCCATGCATTGCGCACCGCTGCACCAGCGCCTCTCTGTAGGCATAGGCTGTCGGATGTCCCATGCATTCTGCGATGGGTCGTAGTGCTGCACGCATGAGAGCTCAGCCCCTGCCAAACACCCGCCCACGACGAAGAATTGAGGACGCACCTTTTCAAGAGTCGACAAGAACTTCGGATGTGCAAAATCACTCTCGCTATCGTAAGTCTGGCATGTCTGACACCGTTCTGGGGTTACGATTTCTGCTCCAAAACTGCCTGTGCACTGCGATGCTTCGAAGTACATACCTTAAGACACGACAAGCACAAGTCAAGGCCAACTTACTTGCGGTGGTGACCACGCCTCTTCGCAAAGCCTGGGAAGCATTTGCCGCATGCCTGCTGGCACTTGTTTGCAATGTAAGCTGTTCGGAGCTTGACGCATCAGGCTGGCAGCATTGGCTGGAAAAGGAGTCATACCAAATCTTGCGACATATTACGCAGTTCATGGAAAAACGAACCCAGGCAACCCTCCCGGCTGCCGCAAGATCCTCTGAGCGCGTCGCTGGCCCCGTGGCTTCGGCCGGCGCTGGCGAAGCGCTGGGCCGCCCGAAGCCCGGCAGCGAGGCCCAGGGCGCGAGCGAGCTCGGGGAGTTGCAGCAGCTCCTGGAGCTTCTGAAACGGTGATGAACTGACCTGCACCATTACCAATCATGCTTGCGAATGCGATGCCGGCTACATCGCCGCGATGCTGGGCCGGCATCCTCATTCTCGCCTGCTCACTCGCTGGAGCTCTTCCCTTGGGCTCTCTCTCTGTCTCTCTCTTCCCTCCGTGTTAGGGGCGAGGTCCGATAAAGCGGACCCGTGCCAAGGCGCCCCGCCCCCGCCCCCCCCCCCCTGTTTACCTTGTGTCAGAGATTGGGCCCTGGGGTCTTCGGAATGCTTGCACGTGCGGGAGTGTGCATCTGTCGTGGAACCATCGCGAATCCCTGCCTCGTCACCGTGCCCTCTATGGCGTCCTCTCTCTTCTTCAGCAGGGCATAGGGGGCGTGTCAGACCCCCGGCGGCATGGGTGTCCGATTGTTATGGGGCGTGGGAGGAGTGTGAAAGTTGATTGAATCCCCACCAACGGCAACACGACAGTATATTGGACTATAAAAACAATGGGGTTCATCAATCGTGTGATCGACACATGCATCGACAGGAGGGTCTCCTTGGTCGAGAATTACGATATCACACTACTCAAAACTACTCTACTAAGATTCCCCCTGTCTGGTTGGCATGATTGAGCGTGAGGTTCATTGCGATTAACAAGATCTGAGATGCAGGCCACAGAAACCACAAGTCCTATAGGTCCTAAAGCCAAGTCACAACTACACAGCCTATCCCTCTAGGGCTCAGCTGCTTCAACCACTCCACGGTCTAAGCCTCACGCCAACACATGCCTTCAACGTCGCTCTCGATCTCTTCCGCCCCGTCCCCTCCCCCGTGCACGAGCATCTGCCACACACGTCGAAAAGCACAATCCCCAAGTTTACCCAAAGCCATCGGAAAGCACCGATTGCAAGCGATCCCTTCACGAGCAAAGCTGAGGCCCCCACCAGAAGCAAAGCTGCCTGAACACAAGTTAAGTCGTGTCTGCACAAGTCCAAGAATAACAACAATAGTCTTCCAAAACTGGAACGGCATCAATGCGGTGTTCATGCGCTCACACAAGCAACCATCGCAGAACATGGATCCAGAGAAGGCGCAGCATGACAAACGACAACCATCACCACTGATGCATTACAAAAGCAAGTCACAAGATGATGGCATTCTCCGGCTGTGACGGCGGCGAAGCCGACGGCGGCGGTGGTGCTGGTGCCGGTGGTATACAGTGGCGGCGGTGGTGGCAACAGCAGGAGGAAAGGCCATGCTTGCAACTTGTTCGTTGGACCGACTACGAATCGAATAACAAAGATATCTGCACAGGTCCACTACGATCAACACCAGCATGAAACAATACAAGGGACAGAGACTTGCACAACAGGAGACTACTTTTTTTATTTTCGTTCCAATGATAGAAAATTCGAGCGGCTGGTGAGTAGAGGCCTCATGCACAAGATCGGAAGTCAGAACATCTGCTCGGAGGCACGTTCTACGAAATAATGAAGGACAAGCGATCGCATGTATCAATGATTACTGGGATGGGAAGTGTGTTGCGCTTCAGTTGCTGCCTGCAGCCGCGCTCGCCTGGCAGCCTGCTGTGTCAGGCTTTTGGCCAGGTCAATCTGCTCCAACTTGCGGAGCCTCGGTCAACGGAACTCCTACGAGTTTTAACTTTAAATTGTTATAATTTTGCCACCCTCCCAGCTGATCAAGTCGCACCGTGAGACTGCAAGCGCCGCGAACTCGCAAGGCTCCGCGACTATCCCCAAGAACCCCAAATTCGGCTGCCCAGCATGACACCAGAGCGTAAGTCTGCAAAGGCTTGAAACACAATAAAAGCATGCATGACGCACAGAACCAACTGCGAAGAGAAAAGTGCTCTGAAATAGTCTGGAATCTGGAAGCAACCACAAACTGTGCACACTACGCCGGACCAAAGACAGGAAACTAAGAGAACGAATCAGTCAAGGCAAGATTGCACGTAATAAAACTTCGACTACTGAAGTATATCGACTTCATGCACATACTAGTACCCGATTGCCTCAGGCTCCTATAAGTATGTGATATATGCGTTGTTTATACGGATTTTGATCTCACGCCTCGCGCACTCGCTCAAGGCAAACACATATCCACAATTCTCCGCGATTGGTACCAGCACAACTAGCACCACGAGGCATGCAAGAGTAAAAGGTATCCTTGTGAGGTACAAAGGGAGAATGGCTGGCAGGATACTCGGAATGCCAACCGAATGGAACATGTGGACAGAAATACAGCTTGTATGCTTTACGACTTTTAACAAGGCCAGAAGTCTCTGGATCGGAGGGATCAACCCGGCCTAGTATGCTATTGCAGTCCTCGCTCAAGCGTGAAGGTAGCACGGCTGCCACTAGCCCAACCCAGAAGCCATGTGGGGTGTCGGTCAAGCAAGGGGGTTGAAGAAGGAGAACACCACAAGGACTTGATGGTCAGCGCCGCCGAAATGCAACTCATCCTGTGCGGCGGTAAGCGCCAGTGGCGCGGCTCCCAGAGTGGCACAGCCCGGAAGAGGTGCCGCCGGCAAAGGCTCAAGGCCAGCACCCATCCGCTCAAGACATCCATCATGCAATGTGAGAGTCTCGACAGCTTTCAGGGGGGTAACTTTCTGCTTCGGGATGTGGTTGACTTCTGCCAATGATCGAATGACCTTCGAGGCCGATACGGTGGTTTTGCTTGTTTCCGGTAACTGCTGGAGCCGTGCAAAGAAGCTTGGGTTGTGCTAAACTGCTACACGCATGTTTGAAACAAAGGGAACTGCGCACAAGCTCTCTCCCGACGTCGTTGATTACAGAGTCAAGCATAAGGCATAAGGATCCTCAACCTGGCCCTTAAACGGGCTCTGTAAGGTGCACTGCACTCCGAATTAGCTGCCAGGGGCAGATTAATTTGCCTGCGGCATCCACGCTGTCCGTGCCACTTGCCCTTGTCGTCACAGACCCGTGACAAGGTCCCAACGAAACCCACTGCCAGTATTGCCCAAGCATTGCATTGCTTCATAGCCTTCGGCATCAGCGGCCCTAGGAATGCACGACTGCGGATGCAACTTGGCAGAAACATCGCTTGGCCTTCCCTGGCCATCTCGGGCTCGATGACCCAATCCGGTAGAACAAAGCCGAAACGAGCAAGCTGCAAGGCGAGCTAGCACGCCAATAAATGGAACAGATGTAAAACTTAGCTGTCCAGCTGGTCGGTGTGCGTCTGCACCGGGGCGTCCGCCTGAAGAGGAATGGGGACGGCTTCATATCTGCGAGACCCCAAATGCCACTTCGACATCGCCTGAAGCCAATTGAGCTCAGCCAAGGCAGCATTGCAACGACGCCGCAAGATTTCCACGATTCGGGCGGGGTGGCCTCTGTTGCCTGGCACAGGAAATCGGATCCTATGCCACGCAATTCCTGCTTCCAGATTCCATGCCTAGGTCACTCAAGCAGGTGCTGAAGAACTCCTGAACAAGCGAGCAAAGCCGCAAGAGCGTGTGTTTGCGTTTCTTGCGGTCCTCCAGCATCTTGCGCAGGAGGGCAGCATGAACGAGAGCAGCCAGTCGCAGCAAACGAGCCTGAACGATTATGTGGGTTGGCCGCAGCAACCCTTCACAGAAAGTTTCGGGGCCTCTATTGATGGAGGAGATGCAACACGGCGGAAAGCAGCAGCCGCGAAGGCTACGGAGAAGACGGCCTGGTCCCAGAACCCAAGGCTCGGATCCCCATGGCATGTCGGAGTCGGAGTTGGGTCCTCCAGCGGCTCCATGCCCTCATCCACCTTGACCTCGCTGAGCCGCCCTTGAAGGCTCTCGAGCACCTGCACGCACTGCACGGGACGCCGGAGCTGCGGCGGACCTTCAGGCACGCACTGCACGGTGGCCTCCGAGGCCATGCAGAACAAGGCCTCCTTCTCCCAGACGGAAACCTGGGTGTCGACGGCAGGGACACAAGCGCTGCAAGCTGCCGGGCGAGAGCATTGCTTCAAGGCAGGGCCAGGGGACGGGATCCAGGAGGTGCGGACGGCACAGCACTGCTTCCCGGAGCTCCTCCTGCCACTGCAGCATCTCCTCAGATGCTAAGAGCTGAAAAACAGATGGCCCGGTGCTACGTGGCACGTCATTCCCTCTGTCTTATTTGGAGCGGAGTAGCTTTGTTCGAGGAGTTGATTTCGCCGGCGATACGAAGGAGCCGAAGGTGCTCCGTGGGCTTGCCCTCCGGCTCTGGCTCCTTGCCCATATGGTCACTCGCTTTGCAACTCGCCGCACCGGCTACGCCTGCCTCCCTGCGGTTGCGCTCTGGCATCTCGTCGCCTTGAAACACGTGCTTGCTGCGTTAGTGGGCGCTCCACCCCGAAGTGAGGGACGAGGCCGAGGTGCCCATCGTTTTTGCTCTGACGTTCAGCGCTTGCTGCAGCGATGCAGCAAGACGCTGCGCGGCCTCGGTGGGCTGAAGCTCCAGCTCACGAGACGAATATTCACCCTCCCAAGCTTGCACAGCACTGCAGAATCGTCCAGGGATTCCGGCCTCGAAGCCGTCGCTGAGCACCATGACTGCAGCAGCGCAGTTCAACGCGGCCTGGCTGGCCATCTCCATGACCTCCCCAGACGAGGCCGCGTCTCCGACAAGGAAGATCGGTGTCACGGTGAACATGCGAGCAATTGCGAGCAGACACACAAACCCGCAAAAGACGACATTTCCATGCATTCTTTTGGAAGTCCCTCTCTCGTGATTTCCTTGACTGACGCGCTTTCGACTGCTTCTTGCCCGCCCGTTAGGCCCCTAACGGAGTTTCGATTCGATGGGACTTCAACGTCACACCCACCACTCGTTATAAACTCTTTCAGTTCGCTCGGCTCAAGTCTTTTGGTGACCTGCGCAGTGCGCCACAGGTTCCGACTGTCGGCGCCTCGTCGCCCAAGGTCTTGCCGGACTCCCCCTGAGGTTCCCAGAAGGCCTCGCAGTCCTTCGGTGGAAGTTGGACTTGGTGATCCGAGAAAGCGACTCCAAGGATAGCATCTAGAAACGCGTGCAGCCAGAGCTCCGAGTACTCCATGGCTTGGTTGCTCGCCTTGAAGCCAATTTCACACGCTTCGTTTCCGAGAGCGAGGGCTGATCTCATCCTGCCAACATGCTACAACCCCAACACGTGCCTAGCTGCTACTGCTACTAATCAGCACCATCCCCTCAGGCTCTAAGGACCACGGTTGCATATCAGGCAATTAGACCACTGAATCTCTGTGTTGAACTTGGGGGCCTTTATGAGCGAGGCAATCTTTAAGGGATCCCAAGGAGTGCGGCAAACGAAGTGAACGCCTGCTGCTGTTGTCAGTCGAGGTGCTGGGAGAGGCACTTCTTCGCCTCCCTCGTCACGTTACCAAAGAGCTCCTCCGGCATAGTGGCGCTTACGTCCAGCACTGCCATCAGCAAAGGCAAGACCTGCGGCAACTCGAGCAAAAGCTCAACCTCAATTCTTGAGACCACTTGCGGCGTCTTCAGTCCCAGCCTGTGCTTGTGTTCCTGACGCACTCATCCCCACACGCGCAGCTTCCTCCCCGGTATGGTTCACAGCGCCTGCCGCTGCTAAGACATTCGTGCGCACGACTGGCAGACACGAACGCCGTCACAAGCAGAGCACAGGATAGAGAGACATACCTACCTTCCTACATATACCTATAAATATTATATCAAAGGAGCACGTTGGAATCCATTCACCTGCCTGCACAGTGGAGCGCCAACCGACTGCGCCCGCTGCGACTGCTGGCACGCCACATGGCTCTGCCAGGTCTCTCTGGCTGGCCCGGGCCCAGCGTTCCTGAGTCGAAGTCTGCTTCAAGTTACGCGCGCTCATGGCAAGACAGTCTCACTGGCCTGACTCTGCTGCTTCATCTTCTTCATGTGACTCAGCTTCTGGAACTGGTTCTAACGTCCTGCTCACAGGGCAGCGTTCTCCGACTCTGAACTGTCCAGCAGATTCCTTAAACTCTGCAGCTCCTTTGGCCGGGCATGGTCTGGGCGCGGGGGGCAGCACGCGAGGGCGGCTTCCGCATCAAGAGCTGCATGTCTGCGAAGGCCTCTGTCTCTGGACTTCAGATTTACAGAGCGAAGAGAGCAGAGCAGGCCAGCTGGCCTGGGCCGCACGCAGGCACATATCCGCCTGCAGAGCCAACTCATCCGCACCGGAGCGCTTCGGAAGCCTCATCGATTCGATCGATTCGAGCTTCCATGTGCTCCTGCTCCCAGTGCCAGAGTAGTCATCCAAGTCACATGAATTCCACGCCCCGGACCACCGTCTCACCAGGCCCAATCTTTGGCACCACGTCCACTTGAGAGGCCCTCGCGATACCATCCTTGTTTGGATCTGCACCCTGCGAAGGTACGAAACCCAAAAACTTTACGCAGCAGATGAAAAACATTGGCCTGCAGAGAGCCGAGCGTCTTTGTGGGACAGAAGCAGCTCGTAGGCTCCCTGGAGCGCTTGAAAGGCTCCTGTGGATGTCTCGCCCTGCCTGCAACCAGTTGAATCGAGTCCGACAAACACGACCCAATCTTCAGCACATCGCAAGGCCGCCTTTGCTGCACATGCCTGCGCTACAGCATTTGCAGGTGCAGGAGGCTCGTTGGCCTGTCTTGGCCCCACCTCTGTGATGCCAGATACCAACAACCAGGCATCAAAGCCGGTGCTTGATCCCTGCTCCCTGGCCTATACATGGGCATAACTAATTTCCAGAAGTGGTATCATGCAATGCCGCCGTGCCGATCTGTACAAGCACATTAAACGAGACAGCCACAGCTGTCCCCACCGAACTTTGCAAGGTAAGAGAGCATCTGCGATTGAAGTGCGGCCAAGTGTTAAGATAAGCTGTGCATGAACCCCGAAAGGGGTTGTGACTGTTTCCAGAGACATACCTACCTACATCTCCAGGAAGTGGACAGCGAGACAGCTTTGATCCACTCAAAAGATGTCCCGGCCGTGGACGGTAACTCAATTATCAATGCGCAAGCAACAAGTCATCCCTGGTGTGCAATGTGGAATCAGTCTTCGGTCGGCGGTGTTGTCTTTCTGCTGCCTGCTGGACATCATGTTCCTCTTCAGACCGGGGCTGAACCTCCACAAATGTGTGCCTCACGACAACTTTATGCTGAGATGACCTTCGCTGGGCCAGCTCAATTCGTCTGTTCAAGGCTTCACAACTCGAGCGAGGAATAAACCTTGGTTTCGAGTTGTCGTGGACGTTGGGTGCCGTTGTTCCACCATTGGCATGGCGATATGCGGTCTTCTGCAAGGAGAATGCTTGCAAAAAGCGTGTTCGGATCTCTATCCACTCTTCACTCCGCACGATGCATTGATATGGAACAATCTTGCGTCCATCAAGCCTGTCGTAAACCACGACAGGGATGTTCAAGTTGCGCAGAAACCGCTGGAGGTATGTGGAGAAGCGGAATTTCTCGTCACCGACCATGCTCGGGTCGAATCGAGTCCACCGAGTGAGGCCAAGCGCCTCACCTGCTGCAATGGTTACTGTGGACTCCGTCGACTCTTCCTGGGGCAGGAATGGGAAGCCACGCTGCCAGGACTGGATTGTCAGGGTCACATAGGCTGCCTGATCGTGGTTGCGCAGCTCTTCCACCCCTGGCCGATTGAGCCACCACTGACACGTCCTCCTGCAAGACTCGATCAGCAGCCCGAAGTGGGTTGTGGCCCAGCGAGCAAACTTGTCCTCCGAAACACTGAAGATTCCCGAAATGTGGAATTTTCCGTCTCCTTGCGGTCGACAGTGCAGCAATCCTTAGTGAACAGTTCTTGCTACTCTTCTGCACCGACTTGGCTACAATCTATCACTAAGTTCTTTGGTGTGCTTGCACAGGGCGTGGACACAATGTCTCTTTACAGACCAGTAGCCTTCCGGTGGCTCACCTGTGTAATGGAAGAGGCCGATGGCACAGTCTCCTCTCTTGGGGTAGTCGCGGGAAACTTTCTGCAAGGCTGTGCCTGCCCCGTCACCAGTCGTAAAGGAGAACTCTACGTAAGGTCTTGCAAGCCTTCCAAACAAGACGGTGCAGAGCCGAAGTAATCCCCAGCTGGAGAAGCGCTTGATGACGGCCTCTCCAGGTCCCAACATCTCCAGCAGCTCGACCCTGCCGAAACGGTCTCCACAACGTGCCTGGTGTCGTTCTCGTGTCTCTGGCCGCACGAAAACGCAACTGGTGTCTTCCGGAGGATTCTTCACCACAACGTCTTCAATCGAGCACTTGATGATGTGCCCCCCCCAAGGGCAGTCGCAGTGGGACAGGGAACATCGTCCCTTGTCTATAGCAACCTCCCAGCCCTCATGGGAGAGCAGGTTTGGGACGAGCTCGAACCATTCCTCGTTGCACTCAGGTGGAACTGCCATGGTTCCTGCGACTGCTACGACCGCTGGAACTCTATAACTATAATGCCTTGGAGCCACAGAATACGAGAATCCACGGATGCTCGTGTCTCTTCTGACCGGTTCTGCCACGGTCTCCACTTCTGACCCAGCCCACGTGCATCTCTGCTGTGCAAGCCCTGCAACTGCCGACCGCCAGCCTGTCTGGATGCAGCTGCCGAGCTTTCCGGCGGTAGGCCTCCGGTGGCTCGGGGCTCCGCTAGCCTTCGCTTCCTTCGCTGTTTCTCCCTGACCGTCTTGCCTTGGCCAACTCCTCCGTCGACGCACTGTGGCCGAGTCCAAGCAGCTGCCTGAGGACAAGGCTGAAGTTAGATTACAGCGTTCTCCCGATGCCAGTGCCCCTCAGACAGCCTGGCATTGTCCAACGATAGAACCTTTTGCAGCGCTTTGAGGTCGGTCCCTCAGTACTTGCACTGGCTGCGGAAATCCTAGGGCCTGATCAGCGACACTCTGTTCATCTGAGCAGCGAATTTCTCCGAGTGCACGTGCATAAGCGGCAAGCCGCTGAGCTTTTGGGTGATCAAGGAATCCCTCAGTCTCCAAGGCACCTGAGCGAGAGCTTTGGTTTTCGGGTTCAGGGTTGCAGCTTTGAAGATCTCTGCACCAGCACGAGGCACCATCGTCTCTGCGACTCTTGATATCCAGAAGCAATAACAGCTCCTGGTCAGTCATCTCTCCTTGGCTAGGACCATCCAGCGAGCTTTGCCCCCCTCCAACAGTGCCTTTTCCACTCACACTTCCCTATGCGACTTTGCTCTAGTCAAGAAGCTGCCCACATCGTCGTGCCGCGGCAGGCGACATCCGCATTGGGCGAGGCTTGCAGCTCGAAGAGTCTCCAAGAAGACACTCGCATCCAGCAGCCTTATCTTGCTCTAAGCAGCATCGCATCGACATGGAGATTGCAGGAAGTACAGACCTGACATGACGTGACCAATCGAGGTCACAGCATTTGCTGCGAGCCGTTTGCTGCGGGGTGGGCCTCTACACCAGCGCACATGAATGGAAACATGCACATGCGAGTCTCGGCTGCCAGCCGAAGGCTCCGTTGATGTTCAGATACGGACGATTCGCACAAAAAACGCAGACCTCAACCCTGACCCCTCAACTCTTGAGCCCCTTGTCGCACCCGAAGCTGTAGGCGGCGGAAGGCCAGTGCCATCTGCAGGCTTCCGCCGCCGGGGTCGCGCATGCCGCCAGGTCCGAGGCCAATACCTCTTTATGCTCAAATTTCACCCGGAATCCGAAGCGTCTGAAGGAGATGCGTGCCGTGACATGGCGCAAGCTGCAGTCCAGGTGCCGCCGATGAACCATTGATGAGCATTTGCAAGAGCCTCACTGTAGCAATCCGGGCAGGAATGCAGAAAAGACTTCTAACAGGTCGCCGGGTCGCCTGTGCCGGCTTCTCCTTGGGCTGAGCAGGCAAAAGCCCTTCCAAAGTCCTCGCATCCTCGGCTGGCTCGGCTGGAACAGTAACAGGCAGCCTCCAAACACCGCGCGCAGCAGGAAGACATCTGGCATTACAGAGGTGTGGGAGTGGGACGGCTTTGGCTGCACAATGTTGGTACGCGACCTCGCAATTCAGCTGCTTCGCTCGTAATTACTTGCTGTGTGGGCGTCTGAGCGCATGGAAGGAGCACCGCCGGCCAAGAGCGCAAGCAGGGACGACTGCGACATCAGCTCGATGTGCTCTGCAAGCACCTTTCGCGCCTCTCGTTTTCCGAACCCACCAAATCACAGCGGAATCATGGCAGCTTGACGACCCATCGAACAGCACAGTCAAAAATAAAGGCGGCAGCTTGATGTCTAAGACCTTTTCGATGGTGCAGCGTGCTTCCAAGTTCAAAGCAGGGGTCGTGGGCCGGAAGGTCGGAAATAGGTGGTGCGGCGTTGGACAATGTGCTAAGTAATCTCTGTACTACCCTGCTTTTGGAATCTTCTATACGTAGGCCCCAGTTGAGGTGGAATTTCGTGCAGGCTTTGCCACCCGCCCAGCTGAACAATGTCGCTCCGCAGTGAACTCGTCCGAATCTCAAGACAGCATGAGGATCCCAGGGGGCTTGCGAACTCGTACTCCACACGCCCAGGAACAATTGACACCCAGCTAAACGTCGCAAACCTGGCGGACCCTTGAAACCTGAGGAAAGAGAGATCTGAGCACCTCGAACGAAAGTTTAAGTGCCCGGCAGATCTCACGGTCCCCCCACCAGCAGCATGCTATGTACAGGCTTCATCCGGGCAATTTCAAAACGACCAATGTCGAGACGAGTCGAAACCCCGACAACCAAAACCACTCAAGCCAACAAGTCACTAGCCAGTAATGCCCGTTACAAGATACTAGAAGGTAGGACACTACGACTCTCAGGTCACGCAGAAAGTGATTTGAAACCACATTGGTTATCTGTGACATACGAATTCGCGTAGTTCGAGTGTAGGATAATATCATGGAAGGAAGGAATGGGGGGCACTCCACGGTCCACGTGGCCACTGGTACACAAGTCCCACAATCTCGCCCAGCACCCAACTACTCCTCTGTAGCGTACCACATGGTCATATGAAACCTCGCTAACCTATACGTCATACACATCCGATAACCGATGCACTCCATACATATAGAGCCTAAGTTTATATGGAGCCTCGTGCAGTTCGAGACTCGTACCAATGTAGGTCATGCTTGCCTTGAAAGGAAAACGAGGCACCCAACGGGATGTGGTTCGTGTCGCCGCGAATGTACGAATCGGTCCGAGATGTTTGTCGATCCATCTATACAGCTGTATTCCATCAACCGTAAGCAACCATGTCTTGTCCAGTGATGCTGGCCTGCCGACCCATGTCTGCTGCAGCGTCCTCAGCAACCCAGCGTGACCTGGCCAGCCGTAACGATCGGACATGAAACTGACTGATAACACTGCTTGATGATGCCACCGGGACACTCTCCCTCTTCTGGGATATATCTTCGCAAAGCATCCACAATCCGGCAGAAGCAGCCATGCCATGACAAACGCCCCTGTCAGAGATGCCGCTTGTGCAAAGCTGGTCCACAACACAGTACAGGTGGGTTGAAGCAGGAAAGCCTCCATCCAGTCGGCTATTGCACCTGCTTCGATGCCCGAATCAGGCAGGTCAGTTGCCCAGCTGGTGGGCAACGTTGGCACAGCCACTGCACCTCCAAAGTCAGGGGTAAGGGGTAGCACAGAGGTGATGGGGACAAACAGTTCTTTGCACCTCCTAACCCTTCCCGCCATGAAGATCTGACAGGCGCCCTCTTGCAGCCGCCGCATTGCAGCATGCCTGCACGCGAAGGCGCGCAAAAAGAAACCTGACATTTGCATCTGCACCTGTCCGACTACGTGCGGTCTGAAAGCCGGCCTAGCCGTTCCTTGTTCTTGGTGGGAACTGCTAGCTTCTCGCTCTTGCAGCTGTCACATGATCCCTCTCTGCTGGGAGTCTCCTCCTGAACTTTGGTGACACCATCCGCTTGGTGTGCACGATGATGGTCTCCTTGCGACTCCCGGGCAAAGGCCTTGGCCTTAGCAGGCGAGGGCGCCGCGACGGTGATCTTCTGGACATCGGCATGCGTGCTCTTGCCAAGCCCTGCAGTTCGCAAGGTGACGGAAACTGGTGGCGCCACGCAGAGTGGTGCGGTTCCTGCAGTAGGCGCTATGGGCTCAAAGGAGCGGGTGTGCACTGAAAGCACGGAAGCCTGTGCTTTTGCTGCCTGTGGAGACTGGAGAGCTTTGGATTCTGCATCGATCTTTGGCTCCCCTTCCGGCCGATCCTTGGGTGCGGAGGTCACCGGACTCTGCTGGTGCTCCTTATTGAGATCTGGCCGTGGGGTCGAATACTTCCGAGCTGGGGCAGCCTTGGGCTTCGGAACTTCTGGCGCTTTTGGTATTGCAAGCTTTGGTGCATCTGCAGTCGGAAGCTCAGGCAACTCTCGGACACCTCGCACTTGTTGCTTGTGGTCTGGTGAAACTTGAGAGGCCGCGGCTGCTTCCTGTGCAGGAGGCTCGCGCGGGCCAGGCGCAGCTTTCGCTTCTACTTTGGAGCTTTCCGGCGCCTGCGCTCGCACTTCTTTGCTGGAAGTGCTTGGGCTGCGACCCGTTCTCGGGGCAGGGTTGGCAGGGCCGGTAGAGGTTGCCGTCGACAGCACGGCTCTTTCGGAGACTTCGGGCACGGTCGGGGCCGCGGCTGGGGCCTCTGCCCCAGCCTTGTTCTTCGCTGGGGTGCTGCTTCTTCGGGGAGTCTGCGCTCTTTGGCGATTCGCAGGCCTCGCAAATTTCATGCGCGCATACTTCAGTCGTCCTCTCATTGCTATTGCATCAATCACGTCATTGCCCGACAAAGCCCAGCTGCACAGCTATCAGCACTGCATGATGTGACAGCATAGTGGCCTCGACTTAGGCTGGCTTTTCCCCCTGGCTCGCCGGGGTGTGGGCGTACCTGTCTGCCATGCATCTGAAAGATGCGAGCGTGATATCCAAAGAGCTGATGGACGGTGCTAACGTGTTGATTGAATTAATTGCTTTCAAACGAATTCTTGCCCTGCGAAGCTGCATCAACATCTGGCAGAACAGAACTAGCTAGCCTTCCCTGCCCTTTAGTTCCCGTAGTCGAAGTCCAAGTGACGTCGCATGCTGCCGGCGGAGACATGGGAGACGACCGGGCGGCCGCGCCAGGGTAATCCCGCTTCGAGGTCAACTTCTGCCTTTGTCTGTGGGTCAGCACAGCACACGTCGGCAGGCTTCGTCCCTCACTCCAGTTCTCAAAGCCGTCTCCAGAAATACGTCTTCTGAAGAAAACAAACGACATGTACACGATGACATGTTATCGATATCGACTTTTTCCCTATGGCGGCCGCGGGCCGCGCTGAGTGCATCCCTTGATCTCGCGAGCGGACAAGGCGCGACATTTTGCGCACGGCACTTCCAGACGGCTGCTTCCAAGTCGACCTCCCATGCCTCGCAGGAGCTTTGGAAGCAGAAGCCGGCGCTTCCTCAAGGCTTCTGTGATGCGACCTGCCTCTCCGGCCCTTGGCACAAGCGGCAGCCCTGTGATCGCCGCAGCACGGGCTCGCAGGGTGCTCGCTGCCCAAACGGCGTTCTTCGTCCAGGAGAAGCTTTCCGACATCCGCACCGGCAGCTAAGGAAGTCTGGCTGATGAACTTGTTGTCTGTTTCTGCACACTAGTATACACGAACAGCTGCTTCTGCACTTCCCGAAACAGCCAGCAAGGACCTCTCAATTACAGAGTCTGCGAAGTGTTCATATTATGTGATCTGTCTTCGGGTCTGGGTCTAGAGAGTCTAGTGTCTGAGGCTGTCTTTGACGCCAACTCCTGGTGTTCCATGGCTTGCGAACTCGGACCAAGCCGGATAGCTCCCTTGCTTTGCCGTGTGGGCCCATGCAGGGTGCCCATAGGCCCATATGCCCGCACGCGTCATTTCTGCCAAACAGCTCCTCTGAGCATCATTCGAGGTCTAGTCCTAACAGTGGTCCTGAACCTGTCGCCTGCCTGCGCTCGAATTAAAGTGACACCATGGCTTCGACGTGCTATCTGGGCTGCTTCTCGACCTTGAAGGCATGGTAGCCCATTCCCTGCCGAAATCAATCGCTCGGGCGGCACTCCTGGCTGTGCCCTCGCTTGCCTGTCGCACGTAGCGCGCCTGCACACTCTGCCCAACCACGTCCTGAGGGCAAGTGCCACAGTTCATGACAGACCTGGAAAGACTCGCTGCAGACTAGCTGCAATGTGTTTCCCGGTATGCGCTCGAAGGAAAATCGTGTCTCCCACCGCCTTAGCAGGCATGCTGGCATGCAGGGGGATAGCAGCAGCATCAGCCTTCGACATAAGGTGCAAGCAATGGGTCGAGGAAGTGCCCCGGAGTGCTCGACGACGAATTCTTGTCGGGGGCCCATGTGGGCTCCTCGAGCACTGACCTTTCCACAGCTTTCATCTGCCACGTCCTTCCTTGAACGCAGGTCCGCTGCCTCGTCTCCGTTCACTTCCAGCTTGAAACCGTTTGTGTTGGTCAGGAATATCCTCCACCATGCTTGGTCTGCAGGCGTGTACATCAAGGTCTGCCGGTCCATCGGTCCTGTCACCATGGTAGACATCGCCAACGGATCGCTTCTCCACTTTGAAGGCTTGATCAGAGGCCTGGTGACACGAGCACTCCCCGACGCGCTGAGAAGCTGATCAGAGGCTTCCGCAAGGACTCCCCTCCCGCCCAGGGCCTTCTCGGACGAGTGGGCTCCGACTCGGAAGTTTTGGATCTGCAAAAAGTCGGCCATGCGTTGTTAGAGCCCATCTGCAAATCTGGCTGCAAGGGCCCGCACTCCGAGGAGCTTCCCGTTGTAGGCCCTTAGCCAAATGCTGTCAATACAAGGCAAAGCAATTCAGGGCAGAAAGCTCCACGGAGCCTCAGGTATATGGTGTCCCCAGGCTTCACAACAGGATTCAACGAAGCGGGGCCGGCGTTTGCCATTTCGCCACCTCCAGTCTCGAACACGGTGCCAGGGATGCAACCGAGGCAAAACCAAACACAGCCTGGTCCTCCCCAGGTTCGCCACTGCCGAGCGGCCAACACCTTCACAGAAGTGCGATGTCCCGCCGCAGAATCCGCAGATCAAAAATCATGCTACTGGTAGCCGCTGGATGTCTCGCCTCAGGTGTGACCTCGGATCCTTGTGCAAGAATGGTTGCGAGGAGTGCTGTGAGGGCGCAGAGCATGGCGAGGGCGTCCAGTTACTCGCGAGGGTTTGTAACTTCTTCGCGTAAGATGGAGCTAGATCCGGTGCTTGCGGTTGCAGGAGGTCTAGAGTCTAGACGGACTAAGTACTGGCAGTACTGTCCAGCTTGCTGTGGCCACGCGGCATCCAATCTACGCAAACAGCCACACGGGAAAGAGTGCAGCTTGGATTGATTTCAGTGTGCAGCCGACGCATGCCAAACCGACCTTGCGACATGTCTGGTGGCCAGCTCATGTTTTACTCTGGAGCAAGCCTTCCTCGCACATGCCAGTCTTGTTGACAGGTCTTGGCTACTTTCCCCACCCTGAGAACATTTACAGACGAACGTGAAAACGTCCTTGTTTTAGTCGACCATTCTTGGCTGCTTCCGTTGCGGTTTCGTCGCAGCGTTCGCCTGGACGGGGCAAGTGATGAATCAAAGGTGGATCCATTCTTCAGGAGGTCGCAGTGCAAAGGCTGAGGATGTCCAACTCATGCCACCATGTCTTCAGCTCAATGGGGCACACCTTCTTGGGATGCTTAGCAAGTTAAGGACAACAAGACGCAGGCAAGCGGCTCCGCTGTTTTGGCGGACGAAATTTGTCAGGTGGTCATTGGACGGCCGGCCCAGACGGCGAACAATACGTACGCCTCCTCTGAAGTGTTCAGACCAGCGGCGTGCCCCCAAGAACCCTGCAGACCAAGCTCTAGTCCTGTTGGTAGCACCTGCCGCTTGTCGTGCTGCCCGAGCAGCTTCTTTGCCTCGAAGCACTCAAGTTTGACTCTCCTGCCTCTTGGAATGCTCTAAATTGTATCCTTGTGCACTTCACAATCCCGCATCACTGCTAAGCTTTGCTGTGACAGAGCCGGCCTCTTCATGAGTTGCGTGAGTGTCGACCAAGTCAGCGTCTGGTTCCTGTGGGCCAGCAACCGCGTATTTGGGAGAAGCAGGCGCGCCTGCAAGGGAACCTGGTAGATGATGGGCAGCTCACTGCCGCCATCAACCTGTCCAGTTTCCACCACATGACCCGTTGCGGGCAAGCAACCGAAAGGGACAAGGGCTTCAGAGTCAAGACGAAGACAGGCCAGTGCTCTGCCATGCCTTACATTAAGATATGCCGGCCCTGGCCGTGAATGCAAGGTTGACCCCGCTCTGACTCTCGCCTCAGAGAGAAGATCTAGGCTTTCCAGGCGGGAGCGCCGTAGATCCCTCATCTTGTCAAAGGCCTGGTGACACGGCTCCCCAGATCTTCCGAAAGCACCCTCAGCCATCAACTCCGTGCCTTGCAAAGCGAGATGAGCGCCTCAAGCTTGGCCTTCGTCTTCAAGGGGGGGGCACAGATCAACATGAGGACAAACAGACGAACCCCGGGTGAATCGAGAGCCAGTCAAAGACAGATGACGATCGAGACAGCGGAGAGACTGCAAGCAAGGGAGGCAGCACGATGAGCAGGGCGATTAATGGAAGAAGAGAGAGGAAGACAAAACCCCTGGACCCTTTCTGAACCGAGGCACTTTGCGAAGCATCTCCAGCCTCAGACCTGGAAAATGTTGTCATGGACCCATCCGAGCATGTAGTCCATACGCTTCATTACTTGACCGGGCCAACTGCTTGTCTTACAATCACACTTTACGCTGCCGCATATCTCTTAAGTACGCAGTGAATCCGACTCGCTGCCCAGTTAGGTGGCCGGCTGTTAGGGATCAGTGTTTCAGCGACATCTTTCCTCCAGAGCCGCAGGGCGCATCATGACCGAATGCCAGAAGTCTAAGTTTAAGCTCTTGTTGCAACCAAGCTTCTTATTGTCAGCGGGCTGTGAACCCAGAGTTTTAACGACTTGCAGAAATCGCTGCTGCGCCAGATTTCTTCGGAGACTGCACAGGGAAGAAGTGCTGTGACTGCGGTTTTAAAATGCAACGCGGGGCTGTTAGGCGCCTCAGAGCGAACTGCACGACAGGTGTCGTGGTCTCCTGGCCAACACCAAGGCGCTTCGAGTGCTTCTGCAAGAAGCGGCTGGTGGCCACCCCCTCGCCCTGCGAATTACAGCAAGATTGGGCTCTTGAGACGGAAGACATCCCGTGACGTCAAGCCTCGATGGCCAAGTACAGGATGTACCATGCTAAGATCTCCTGGCAAAACAAAACAGGACCAGAGCCCCGGCTCCAGATTTTTGAGATCTCAAAGGTCATCAAAGCGTCTTGCCTTCACTTTGGCGGCACCTTGCTCCAGCTCCGGGTCCTCGTAATAGGCCTCCGGACTCTCAGACTCTCAGCCCTCCCGCCCCTCCGGTGCAAAGACACGGCCTCCAGCTCTTGCGCTGCTGTGTTGAAGGCACGAAAGTCCCCTGATTCGAGGGCGACTTCTGCCCAATACTCGTGAGCCTGGATCACGGGGTCTCTGCTCTGAAACTGTGTCACGGCAACATGAAACAAGCCTCGACAGCAAAGCCGTTGTGCAAATGCTGAACCCTCAAGTCTTGTGAGATGCTTCTTAACCTGAGCAGCAAGCACGAAAGCAAAGCAAGCTGGGTGAACCCGGCTTCTTTAGCAACCTACTTGGGTGTACTCGCTCTTCGTCTGTCCGAGAGTCATCTCACCAACATGGCTCCAATCTCTTTGGCTCCTCCACTTCTCTTTGGCCAGCAAGAGAGCCTGGAAGCTGCCCTGCTCCATGACTTTGTGCATGGGTTCCCGTGCCTCCCGCAGGACGTGCAGCGGCCGAACATCTTCCGGCTTCGGCTGCCCGCAGAAGCGCATCTAGGTGCTCCCAAATTCAAAGCAGCATTCGACACGAGAGATGGATGCACTCCAAGGAACGAAGGAGCGCTCAGGGTCCGTATTGCGGCCCCTTATCGGCTCGCCGGAAGCGGTCGACTTGCCTGCAATGCCGCCAGGATACCAGACTGACTTGGAGTTACGAGTTTCATCCCGAGAAATGCTGCAGCAAGTGGTTTCCGGAATGCCTCCTTCACTGCGCGTGTCGAAGCCCTCACCCCCTGCAGTGGCTACACGATGCCAGCTGCAAAATTGGCCAACAATGAAAGGATGATGCCTACAAAGCTGTCAGCGCGATCGTCGTGCTGATTTGCATAGGGCATCTGACGTGGAGGACCAGGATTGTCAATAAAAGCCTGGCCAAGCCGCTGGGCAGCGACGTCGCACAACATCGCAACTGACGCGAGCAATGAGCCTCCCTAAAGCTATTGATCTTGTTGTCCTTGTCACCCTTGACCTGGACAAACAGCTAGATGCTAGCAGCTGGCTGTCAAGTGACCATCACGACATATTGTAGCCTGAAGCCGGAAGCCATACAGCTGATAACATGGCCTGCGACAGTTTCTGAGCAAGCTTCGCCTTCTTTGGAGGAGGCTCCTGCTCGCAATAGCATTCGGGTGCGCTGGTGAAAGCCACCCCAAAATGGTCGCTACTGCCTCCTTGGCTTTCTGCTTGCCTGGGGAATGGAACTGCAAGTGTTTTTGGAAACAAAGAGTAGAAGTCGAAGAGTGAGAGCATACAGGAGCGTAGCTACAACCGAGGCAGACGGGAGGGGAGTAAGAGCGAAGGAGAACGATGCCCGGCCTTGGGTCGGCTGGGCCCAACCGTAAGAGGCTCCATTTTCTTTGCGGGCAGTTCGATCTGCACGGAAGGCTCACACGGTAATGACGGAAGCCCTCAAGATTCTCACTCTCGCGGCACCTCCCCGAGTTGAGCGACTTCGGTCTGCAGCGGAAGGCAGGCGAGAGTGGAAGTGGAGAAAACTGAAGATCCTTGGCCTTTCCATGTACCCCAATCATCATCATCGTTTTTGCCTCTGCCAGGAGCTTCATTCTACTATCAACTATTCAACTTCGCAACAAGCATCAACTCGAGAACTCGCGCAAACAGCCAGGCCTCCGCCCCAACCGCCACTGCCAGAACTTAGTTGAGACTGACGCGAAGCGTAGGACATGCCCTGCCCTTCACTCTCATCCCATTCAGGCAATCGAAAAACCTGCGGAGGCATCTTGGGGAGCGGGTCTTAGCCAAAGCACTTCCACCAGCTGTTGTCTGTCTCCTTCGTTTGTGGTGCTTCCCAGCAAGCGGTGAGCAGCTCATCGAACTTTTTGGCCACTTCCGGGTCGAATTCGCTCATCGCTGACCACCTCAGAACTGGACCGACGTCACAGCTTGTCCAGGCCCCAGAGCTTCTTCCATGCAGCCGGAGACGCAATTTTTTGGTCTTCACGGTGCCGGTCAAGCCCAGACCTCGGCAAAAGAAATGCGCTCGGTTTGGCCAGCACTCCGACACCGCAAATCACCGCAGAACCGCAGCCCAAAGGCTCCTGCTGCGCTTTCGCCTCTTGCGAATCTTGCGAGCTATGTGGAACACTCCTACTGCAGTGGGCGGCCACCAATTTTAAACAACAAACAGCTATCTAAGGTGAAACTTTAAGCTTGCAGCTGCATGTTTCAGGAGTCGCTTCCGGATTTGTCCATCTCCGCAAGGGCGATGCTCGGAAACCAGCACCATGTGGGCACCTGGTCATCTTGGGTGTCAACCCAGCACAAGCCCTCACGGATGCAATGGCGGAGAGCACTCTCGGCTCGCTCTGAACCCCATCCAGTCTTGATCAAATCCTCAGCACAGATCTTTCCCCCTCTGCGAGCTGCGAGGTCTAATGCTTGGGCCGGGTCGTCGCTCAGCTCCTCGGGAATGGAACAGATGAGGCGATGCTTTCCGCAAATTCGGATGGAAACACCGGGGCCGAGTTGGGCTAAGCAGTCCACTGCTCTTTCGATATCCTCCAAGCCGAGATCGCCCCGAGCGCGAGAGCGTCTGAGAGTCGTGAGACACTGCTTCAAGTCCAACAGGCCACCGTTCTCATCCCGGCTTGTGAGACAAAGTGTTAACACTTGCACCGCCAAATCGTTGTAGAACTGGCCAACTCCCAACAGCTCATCCCAGAGACCCTTGCTGCTTGCCAGCGGATCCACACCAGCAGCAATGCACATCTCGCAAAAGGACTTACGGAACTGAGGGTCGGAGTTGATGCGGTCGCGATGGCGAGATGCAAACTCTCCCAGAGACTTCTGCAAGTTCTGCAGCAAAGCTTGGGCTTGCTGGCCCTTGTCCGCCTCCATCCGCTCTCCAACAGCACTGAGCGCACTTTGCTGGGCCTGTCCCCGCATGAGGCCCGCTAGACCCGGTTGCCGCCTCATGGCTGCAACTCTACTGACGGAACCCTCTCTCTTCAAGGTCTGCAATTAGCACTTTGCTCCTTGGTTGCTTGCGGCATGTGCCAAATGCAGAAGCTTTCTGAACTAAAGTTCATTTCGCAAGGCTGCGTACCACTGTAAAGCGCGCAGTGCCATGAGGGTCGTATGCTTGCAACAGACAAATCTCACACAACACGAAGAGGGTTTGCTGCTCAGGCCTCGGCCTAAAACTAAAGCAAGCAGCAGCGACCGCTTCGTCAGTCCAACCCCTCGGACATCAGGATGACTCTTCACCTCACGAGGCACGCCAGTGCTGACATGCAAGCTGAACGCAAACGGCTGAAAACGGCTTGTCCGCGACAACCCAAGCCCGTCGGATGACCTGAGCAAGCATGTAGTCCGATAGACGGAGGTTCAACTTTCTCTCCAGGTCCTCAGTGTGACCGATATGTAAATCGGCACAAATGAAAGGAGCAGCTGCATAACGGTCAGCCAAAACTGTGGAAAAGCACCCTTTGGATCCGCTCGTCGAAACAATGCTCATAAAGGCCATCGACCTCAGACACGGCTCAGGTACATGTCTACATTCAATGAAATCGTGGCATTGTGTCCGTTGGACAGGCCTTCGGGATAAGGTTTTGCATTCGACGGCACAGCAACATCGCCTCCCCTGTCAATCCCAACTCCTGCAGACTTGCCACCTTGCCACAGCTGTCCACAGCTGTCTGCAACATTGAGGAAGCACAACCATGGAAAGGAGACCTGAAATCGACAATCTTTCCAGATTCCATGCTGCCCTGTGCCGCGCTTGCCCCCCGAGCTCTTGGCGACGAGTCCAGGCTAACAAGCGGCACCATGCCATTGCAGAGGAGCCTGGCAAGCCGGCGAGATGAAGCGCGAACACTGGGCGGCTTGGTGGAGGAAAAAAGGTCCCGTCATCTATAAAGACTTGCTGGCTCTCGTTTTTGCCGCCTGCTTGAAGATCTACTCTACTCTAGTCGAACCTACGGCCCCACGGACAATTGAATGTAAATGTGCTCCTCCAATCAACTTCGGCATGCTTTCTCGTGATGCACAACGTAGATCTAACGTCATGCCCACATGCAGACACCCACTGCTGGCCAAGATGCTGAACTTCGGCGCCATACAACTGTATCTTCGGAGGCCTCAACACATGAATTTACCACACGTTTTACCGACAATGATGTTGTGCACTCCTGGAATCGCCAAGAGGCATAGTGCATTGGGGTCACCCCGGAAAGAAATCCGGGGACTGGCTGGCAGCAGCCGAAAAATGATTTGAGAGCTCAAATTGCGACGTCACATGCAACCTCAACAATGGAACGCTTGTAGAGCTGCGTGAATATACACAGTACAAGCACCATCGCTGAAAGCAGCACGTTGTTTCGTCTCGCCTGTTTTCAGTGCCATTCGAGAAAATTTTCTTTTTTTCTCTGCCGAAGCGAACACATCCTCGTGTACCAAGGATCAGCAAGATCCGAAATGCACACACACACACACGGAATGTTAAGTCAGGTTTCTTTAAGCGAAGACCAAACTGATGACCAGGTCTCAGGTGACCATACATCAGTGACTTTGGACATGTCAGCACATGGACAAGAATGTCGAAGGAGAACTACATTACAACACGGCCTGACTACCTGCAAGAATACCGAAAGCAGCCACGACGAAGTCAACATGTATATCCTCAACCGTGACCGGGTTGTTGCGGAAGGCGTGGATGAAGGAGTGGATGATGGAGTGTACCGTGGGAGAAACGAACTGAGCCGGTATAACCGTCTGAAGCATTTGTAAAACCGCCGTGGAAGGAAATTTCTCAAGTTGGACACACCACGTCCGTGAATAGCTAACAATGGGACGTCCCTTGAAGAGCTGCTTTGAGGGTTTCGGTAACACATAGGCGCAAGGAAGAGGTTCACGTGGAGCCAGTGCCCAATGATAGCGTTGAGGAACGGGTCGGTGGACAGCGCGCTGGATGTGTTCTGAAAGCTGAACTGGTGTCGTATCTCGGCGCCAAAATACGGCGGGGTCCAGAAACGTCTCGAGAATATCGGAATACTGGCGAGGACAGAAACTGTAAGCTAGGTGTGGCCCATGGTCGATGGGGGAAATGTTGAGATGTTCAGACCGTTCCCGTAGATTCTTGAGTTCTCGGAGTTGTCGACCATCAGGATGTTCTCGTAAAGTCTGCTGGTGAAGATGCCAGTGATGGGACACGAAGACCTGCCATCGCAAGAACGACACGTCAGGTTGGCGCCATAACTTGAACCATCTCTGCATGGGCACGGTGGCGTTCCGTCTGGATTGAGGTTTGGTCAACCATCTGCCGTCCCCCATGTTTTCCTTGTACGCTGGCTCATTGAGGACGGCGTCGGCGTGCGCGGCGACATGGCCAGATGGTGTCCGGCTCCCTGGCAAGTTTTGGCAACAGCAGGGGAAGGGATGCTCTGGATCCAAGGTCTGGCCCAAGGTCGGGGCCTTTTTCTCTGATGCAGAGTACCCAACCGTCAATCCACTGCTGAGCATGTGACAAGAAGTCACGGGCTAGTTGAGGCAGCGGAAGAAGGCGATGTCGAGGCGGCACGTCCACCTTTGTATCGGAGCGCCCAATCGCAAAGCTTGAAGAGCTCGACTTTGGTGCGGTTCATCCACGAAGACCAGGTAGAGGTAGGAGATGGGGGTTTGATTTCAAAACGGGGGACCCTGGGCGTGCACTTTTCCAGGAGTTTTAGCGCTAGCTTCAGCATCATTAACGCAATACTTAATGAGAGAGGTAGGCTCCCTGCAATAACCGAGTTTCGCTGCAGATGACACCTCAAAAAAACACAAAAAGACCTAAAAACAAAAAAATCAACAAAAAAAATAATAAATAATAAAAATAAAAAATAAAAAAAATGCCAGAGACTCCTGGATTGAAATTTCCATGGCCGGAGAGTGTCGGATTTTTGTTTTTTTTGGTTTTATTGGTTCTTTTGGTTTTTGTTGGTTCTTTGGGTTTTTTGGGTTCTTTTGTTGGAAATGGCTGCCAACCCAAAAAAAACGTCAAAATACGCGCGCGCCCAGGGTCAGTGACACACATTGGGGGGCAATGCACTCTCACGGCAAGGCTCGTAGACAATGCACATGTATACGTGTGAGTACTGCAGTTGGTCTAGTTTGAAGCTGTTACATTGTCACTCTTGTAATTAGGCTTATCGGCGTCTGCGGGATACAGCGACCAATTATTTGTTGAGCTCCGCTTGTTTTACAGTAACTACGATTTTTACAGTTAATACGGTGACTATTAAATGTCTTTGAAATATGCAGGTCGATATTGCTTCGCCGATATTTTTGTGTTCTTTGCAGGAAAAACCCCAGATGAAGTGTATAGTACTGATGATCATATTGTCGTAAATCACTACAGTTACTTAATCTTATTTCAATCTCACATAAGCTCTTCACAGCATACTAGAAAACTTGGATGTGCATAGATACATGTGCGTGTGAAATATGTATGTATGCATATACACATATATATGTATATAGGTACACATACGTGAATGTGTATGAGTAGCTATTTTTGAGATGTATGTGTAAACTGTGCGGATGTATAGATAAATTACAAGTACTGTCGTATGCTAAACGTTCTTTTACTTCGTAAGTAAAGTTGAAGACATAATCAGCTAATCAGGCTTACTTCATTTGTTTGCACAGTTACTGATTTGCTTATCACCACGTTACTGTATTCGCAACCTATTTACCAGTTTCAAGTACTGCAATCGGATACCACTAGAAGTTTCATCTTTAACTTCATACTCGTTGTTACAACACTGGTTTGGTATTGTCGATCTTAAGAATCTTGAACATGTCTTATCTTGTTGTGTATACGTGTCTACATGAAGTCGATCACTTGGAACACGGGTGCACATCTATACAACACACTGGCCAACAAACCTAAGCTTAAAAAGCGCATTCTGTTTGTAGATTACTCTTCTGAACATGACCATAGCTAAAGTATGACAAGTACATGTATGTGCCACGTTACAATAGACTTGTTGCTGGTATCCTGTAGAACATCGGCTTACTGTGGATTGAAAAGTATCGTGTATCTGGTGCTATTCCTGTCTGTATTTGGGTTGAATGTTCGGTTACCATCTTAAACACGTACCGACACAAGCAAAGCAAAGGGCATGGTTAGTATTAATAACACGAAGATGAGCAAACAATTAGTATGTACAGATCAAGAAGCCTGTACTACATCTACAAGCATGCTCCGCGCACACATATGTGTATACATCTATGCATGTGCATTGAAAGGTCAGAACTTGTCAACCAATGTAAGGCACTGTATATACAAAGTGTACATGTATGCAAATATATTTAGCTATAAATATAAGTACATATATAAATATGCATATATATATATATATATATAGACATGCCGAGCTCTCTACCATGCACATTTTCACACATACATGTGTATATATATATATATATAAACATATACATATATATATATATATATATATATCCGTATATATTTATCCGCACACATATACTCTTCATATATATATATATATATAACTTATGTTCATATGCAGAAACACATATATGTGATTGCAACTTATAACATATTTGGAAGTAATACAATAGAACAGAATACTAGTATCCATGCTTATGTGTCCTCAGCCCGATAAACCTAACGAAGCAAATCATATGATGCAAACAGTATGTACTGAGGTCCAAACGTGTTATAATGCAAAACACAAACAACAGTATTGGCACTAGATATTGCAGGGTGCCGGAAAAGTCTTATACTTTCCGTTAGCTCGAGTCGGGAAGATCAGCAGCTAGGGCCGTGTCTCTGGTCGCTTGACCCTTAGACTGGACATATGACCAGCAAACCAACTAGCCATAACATGAATGCGGGCACGAGGGGGTCTCTGATGGATTCTATAAAGCAATATATGTGCTATGTGCTGTACCATCACAATTCTAGCATAAAGCAAGCTAGCAACAAGTACAGAATCAAACAACTTCAAAAAAGCGCACGCCCACAGTCCCCCGGACTCTTTGATTTTGTCGTAGAACTCGCTGAGCGAAGAACTTGGATATTCCGTTGCTCCCGACATACTGTATGATGTGGGCGAGGGTCTCCCGTTCCTCAATGAGAGAGGCACCCCAGCCCAGGGTCCCGAGGATAAAACTCCGGGGCCTGACCCCAGAGTCAAGGCAACACAGCAGGAATTCATCAGCAACCCGTGCTTCCCCTATCCTGCCTCACAATCCCCACCCAGCCTACCCCAGCATCCCAGCCCGAGGTCCACAGGATAAAACTCCGGGGCCTGACCCCAGAGTCGCGAATCCGCCCCAGGCAGGCACTCCCACACTGTCCGCAATCTCAGCCCCAACACCCCAGCCCAGGGTCCCGAGGAGGATAGCAAGGCAACACAGCAGGAATTCTTCAGCAACCCCGTGCTTCCTATCCTGCCTCACAATCCCCAATCTCAGCACCCCAGCATCCCAGCCCGAGGTCCACAGGATATAAAACTTTCGCGAATCCGCCCCAGCAAGGCAACACAGCAGGCATTCATCGGCTGCCACGCTGGCTCCCACACCGTCCACACTCCCCAATCTCAGCACCCAGCCTACCCCCCAGCATCCCAGCCCAGGGTCGCGAGGATAAAACTCCGGGGCCTGACCCCAGAGTCGCGAATCCGCCCCAGCAAGGCAACACAGCAGGAATTCATCAGCAACCCGTGCTTCCCCTATCCTGCCTCACAATCCCCAATCTCGCCACCCAGCCTACCCCAGCATCCCAGCCCGAGGCCCAGAGGATAAAACTCCGGGGGCCTGA